AAGTTGTTGACGAGTACGTTTACCTGGGACAAATAGTCCGACTAGGTAAGTCCATCTTCGACCGAGAGGTCAATACGGATTCAACTCGGCTGGGCCGCGATCGGGAAATTACGACATATCTTCTCGTCAGGTATACCTCAATCTCTAAAAACTAGATTGTACAACCAGTGCGTGTTGCCAGTGATGACTTACGGATCTGAGACGTGGTCCTTCACTGCTGGCCGTATGAGGACGCTCAAGGTCGCTCAGCGAGCTATGGAGAGGGCTATGCTCGGAGTTTCTCTGCGTGATAGACTCAGAAATGAGAATATCCGCAGTAAAACCAGAGTGACCGACATAGCCCAACGGATTAAAAAGCTGAAGTGGCAATGGGCCGGCCATATAGCTCGAAGAACCGATAACCGATGGGGATGAAAGGTTCTCGAGTGGCAGCCTCGTACCGGTAGGCGTAGTGTAGGGCGACCCCCCACAAGATGGAGTGACGACCTGGTAAGATATGCAGGAAGTCGATGGATGCAGGTGGCTCAGGACCGTGCTTTGTGGCATTACTTGGGGGAGCCCTATGTTCAGCAGTGGACTTGTGAAGGGCTGTTATGATGATGATGATGATTGTACAAAATGTTTACACGTTTCAAGTGTGTTAAAAGTGTCTACAATATTTATCACATGGGTGACGGCATATTCGAACACTTTGTTTTCAAAAACACACACTTTCCAAAAATCGAGATTTGCAGTGAACTTATTGAACATGTTTATCTATTGGGTAATAATAATAATAGTAAGTAATTATTATAAACCCATATAGTTAATATTATAATAATTACTTACTAGAATAAATTATTATGGTGTCTACCTATCCTTACCATTATCTAATTACAATATTACTTGCGAGATCAGCATAATGTATTCGTGTCCATTCTGAGCACCCGGAAACTTATTTTATTCTTTGGAACATGTACTCTGTGGCGGCATTCAAACAGTGTCAAATGTAGTGCGTGCGGCGCGGCGGCGACGATTGAATGCGATATCAGTTAAAGCCGCCGGCGCGTGTATCTTGACCTTGTACTTCCGAATAGCTGCAAAATTTCTTTGACAGGTCAGTATTCGACCTTTGATGATGCCGACAACAAGACGCCGCGCACTATCAAAGTACCGATGGTCAAAACTAGAATGCACTGTTTTTTCTTTTAATGGATATTTTCATCCGCTATGTATGTTTATGGTATTGTTCGTAATGCGCATAAGTCCAATTTTCCAAATTTTTTTAATATATTTTTTGCATTTCATAGAGTCCCTAAACGTATACCCGAACTCCTATACTCCCTGAAACGACACTCATTCCTAACTGCAAGACGCAAGAGTCTCGCAGGCTTAGTCTTGTTCTTGCTCAAATCTTGCACGGTCAGTCTTGGTCTTGGTCTTGCTAAAATTAGGCGGTCGTGTTCCTAGTCTTGGTCTTGCAAAAATGCAAGAACAAGACCAAGACTGCAAGACCAAGACCGATTTTGGTCAACACTGACCACAATGTCTCTATATTTGACAAGCGTAGACTTAAGCGGCTGAATGAAACGAAAAAAGCCAATGTTAATACCATTACTAAATACGTACCTATATTAAACAGTGTGTGACGGTGTAAAAGTATCCACCACCCTATATCATCCCGTGGGTGTCGTAAGAGGCGACAGAGGGTAACAAATCAGGAGATGGCCCGCAGCGTCTTACTTATAATAAGTAGAAAATAAAAAACTGCGGTTACTGAGACGCCTTCCAAGTGTGGTTACTATGGCGACTATCCCCCTACTGAGGCAATCGATAGGGAGGGATACATTCAGCAGTGGACATCGACAGGCTGTAATGTAAAAAAAATGGTACCTATGTTTATTAAAAGTTATCCTCACGTTGAAATTACTCTGCATTATCTTAATGTCCTCCAGACCAACTTTTGGTCACGGCGGCCAGCCTCAACGAAGACTAGACATCTGCGTAGGACATGATGATAGTGCCCAAGTGTATACATAAGCACAGGTGCACTCTCTATTCCCTCACTCTTATAATCCGATGGGACGGTATACCGACACGTCCGGTGAAAAATCAGGCGCAGGACCAACGGCTTTGGCTTTACGTGCTTTCCGAGGCATGGGGGTGAGACATAGCCAATTTTTTAACTCCCGGCAGCTACTGAGAATTTGTGGACGGAAAAACTCAGTAATCGATTTTTTGGCCAGACCCGAGAATCGAACCCTGGACCTCATGATCAGCAGTCGCACTACTACAACCACTAGACCAACGAAGTAGTACATTATCTTAAAATATATTACAGTAGGTAAATAAGTAACTAAACCTATACATTTATTTATGTTGATTTGACAGAATATAAGTATTACAAAAATTACATTAGGTAAATAAAAATATATGACTTATATAACATTACACTTCTGCTCTATGAGATGTGCTAATACGTAGAGCAGATGAAAACCATTACAGCTTAACTTTTTGTTAACAAGCGTTCACGCTTGATTTATCTATTTTTCATACCGTGCGCTATAGATACCTATATGAAGCGATTCCTAAGGAGTAAACTCCAAAAATTAAAACGCTGCAGCGAAGAATATAACACAACTCAATTCAATTCAATTTATTTGCTGTTCTTGTTCTATAACATTTGGTCTTATTTAAAATAGTTCACAACAATAACTTTCTAAGCGCACTACAAATATTGTTAATAATATTATTATTACATTTACATTACAGCATTAATTTTTAAAATTATTGTCATTACTATTTCTTCAATAATATTTACAAATTTACTAAAATATGTACGACATCATAAAACATACCTTTTATTTATTCCATATTTCCTACTTAACCATTAAAAATCTCCTGTAACAACACTACAATTAAAATTTTCATGTTTATTTATAACATAATGATAAGTCAAACAATTTCAAAAATATATTATCTTATTCATTATAAGAAATCTAGTGTAATTTTAATACGTGGGGTAGAGCCACGCTGCATATTATGGTTGTAACACACTCGTTTCGGATATTAAGTGTAGAGAACCAGAGACCCTTTTTACTGGAAAGGAGGCATTCCATGTTAGTCCTCATCTGCATTTTTTAAACTGAGGATAGATGTAGATGTCTATAGGCCACAGCATCCACTTACTATCAGATGGACTGTGTGCTCGTTTATCACCCATTTTTGGGAAAACGTTACTCTTACCTACAATACCAAGTTTATTTTTTTTTTTTTTTTTTTTAATTTATTTTATGTACACACATTAAGGTACAGAAGCAGTCTTATAGTAATTACGTACAAAGGTTCTACTTATTCCAAATTCGCTGAAATATCTTCCAGTAGACCCATAAAGGAAATTATATTTAAATTGCAAACTTAGTGCATACATTAGTACTACTAAAAATAAATAATATACACAATGTTACGGAAATTATATAAAAATAAAACAATAAATAAAAATAAAATAAATCAATAAATAATAATAATAATTGATACGATAGTTACATATGATATATATATATATATATATATATATATATATATATATATATATTTATATTTTAAAAGTTACTCCCTCACTAAGATTTTCCCCTGTATCGTGGAGGCAGTTTACATGCATAAATTGCACAAGGAGAAACATCCAGACTTGTTCCGTGCAGGATTCGAACCCGCGGCCCCCAGCACAACCACTCATTGCTAAGCCACTGCGCCACGGAGCCGAGTTAGTACTACAATATAATACCACGTTTTGTTACATTTATTCTTATTCAGTTATCGTCACAGCCTATTAAAGTCCACTGCTGAACACATACATAGGCCTCCCCCTAATATTGCCTCGTAGAGGGGATATTTGTCATAGGATTTTAGGAGGATTTTATTCTTATTCGTTTCATAAAAACTAACAAATCTAGGTAGGTACATAAATAACGATAAATAGTCGATGTATAACTAAAAACGAAATAACAAAACGTTATCGGTCTTTTTAACTATAGATTTTTATATATAGGTACAGTCTTGAACTTTTAGTACTGTTTATGAATAGTCCTTCTAAGTAAAGAAGTCCTGTAGCCACGGCACCACAATTTTCGCGAAATTTGACATTATCTGGCAAATTGCATACATCATATTTTGATTCGCTTATATAAGCGGGATTTGTTTCGTAAAAGAGATTTTAGTTTAAAGCTAAAAAAAGGGAGTAAATATGAACTACTTTTTGTAATGAGGCCGACTACGTATACGTAAAGTAAAGTCTCCATCCATTTACCCGGCGAAGCGTCGCGGAATCCGCGCCACCGCACTGCCTGTGCTCATCCGAATCCCTAAAAAGCTCTCATGGTGACACCTCCCTTCCCCTCACCCTCCCACTAAGACCACATACTCCCATCCCGCTCGCACGTCCGCGCCACTCTTCGAATAACGACACAATGCGACACAAAATCCTCGACTAAACCAGACTCAAGCGACACAACTCCCACGTTCCATACTCGCCTCTATAGCTCTATGTTTTAAAGCGGGCGCTCTAAATTAAGCGACACATTAGAGGACATTTGCAGTGCATACACAAACGTAATAACTGCGTGCCGAAACTGCTTTTTTAAACTTTAACGTCTAAGGTGTAAAGGTGAAAATACAACTAAAGTACAAACGATGCTGTAAAAGACACAGTTTTTAAATGTCACGCAGTGTAGTCGTCTCTTTTCTTCGGAGTCCTGTCGCATCTGGCCGGCTCCTTAACATCCTTCAGCTTGCATGTACCCCCGCGTATCTTTCATCCCGCTCATTGGCGCCTGAAGCCCAGTGTCCGGTCGTGCAGACTGTGAGGCGGTTGTGTAGCGTCGCTAAGCTCATAAGACACGATTATACCAATGTTCCGTACGTACGTACATATATAGAAGAGATTAGATGTGAAATGTACTGTGAAGTGACGCTCAGTGCCATTTGATGTTTGTTTGTGTGGACGATAAAACTAAGCAGCATTCATGATTCAGGTTAGTGCCAGATTATGCACTTTTTTGACGCATTTAAAATTTTGCATTTGAAGGACTAAACCGATGCCTCGAAAGCGTTAGCAAATTTTAATTATGTTACCTTAAGCATGAAAAGAAAAGGTCTGAAGCATTATAAAAACATAACTAAGTATTTTAATATATATTTATGAATAAAAAGGATTACAGTAGGTCTGGTGCAAGCGTATATCAAAACAAAAGTTTTTCATCAATTAGTACCGAATATGTTATCAGTAACAGTGCAACGGTATTGACTATCGTCTGTAGGTGTAATGGACAACCACGCAGTCTTTATTGCTTTAATTATGAATGCATTCATTAAGGATTGCGAAAAGCTTCACAGTGAATTATTATTTATTTTAATATTTAGAATTTTTAATACATAAGAATCGTGTGGAATGTAACTTTTGAATGGGTTTATACAGAAAGTTACAAAAAAACTTTCAGCAAATTAAATTTGAAAAATGTTTTTATATCGCTCGTTGCTCTGTTTTATTTGTTTAGTCTATAAATTTAATTAAGATAATATTAAATGCATAAAATAATTCTAGGTAATGCTACAGGTGCTTAATTACCTTTAGTGTTTTGTTGTAGGAAAATAATTGATAACTTTGGCTTAATAAGTTCACGAAAATTGAATTTTTAATTTTAGGTTCTTAGTATTTTCTTATTTATTTTAAAATTATCATTATACAGATAATATTTTATTAGGCATAAATATAGAAAATTTATATGCAGCAGTAATTTGTGATGAAACCTGAAATAGTGTAATTACTGTTTACTAATACTAGTAATACCGTGAATAGGCTTTTTAATTATCAAGTGTAATCATACATTAAAAAATACCTTCACATATGAAAACATTTTCCACTAAAAAGCTCAAGGCTCAGAAAATAAACGGTTTTCGACAAAAAGCACTATTTAGAGCTATAACATAATTTGCTTTATTACCCAAAATTTTATTTTTAATTAGAGTCTATTGTTGAGGAAAATTTTACTTGTTTTATAACCTTTATTTTTTTTTAAATACTGGATCAGAAAGCGACGGCGTCTATATTTGTGATCACAAAAATACACAATATGGTTTGCCCGAAACTCTACCATTCTACGAGGGTGTTTTTGAATCGTATCCAGAAACATAAGCTTGGATAATTTTAATAAAATCCAGACACTTTTAAGATGCTAAGCTTAATCATTTGTTTTAATATTACCAGTTCTTGCAGTCTCCAGTTATCCTTTTAATATAGAGAGAATACTGCAATTTTTATAGGATAGTGTGACAAACGTTATAGAGCCATATTATACGTGGTAGAGACATGTTGCAGTTATATTAGTAGTGTATTGTTTGTAAGGCCCCACGCCTTTAAAAAGTAGAGTTGTAGTTAGTTGATGAGCACGTCAAAAGGAAAAGATCACCAGAGTTAAAAGGTTTAATTAAAAGTAAAATAGTTAATAAAGTTAGAGTGGCAAATCTTTCCTTGAGTAGTTGGTGTTCAGAAGGACGGTTGTTGACGTACTGCCGATCGTCAGCTTGCAATTAAATAGGTAAATTTAAATACACGCGACGCCCGGCTAAAATAAGTTGCAACGTTTACTAAATAAAAATGTGTGGTGTAACCATACAAGTAGTATAGTTGTAGCACGAATAGGTCGACTCGACCGGGTAAGAACCACGGTCTCACAGAATATCAGCGTAAAATAGTAGCTTAATGCTACTATGTTTCGTATGGTGAGTGTGGAAAACCGGAGACTCTTTTTACTGGAAACGAAGCATTCCATCTTAGTGCCCACGGGTGACAACGCATCTGCATTTTGTTATTAATTGAGTATAGATGTAGATGTCTATGGGCCGCAGCAACCACTTACAATCAGGTGGACTGTGTGCTCGTTTGTCACCCTATTCTATTAATAAAAAAACGGACACACAGTCCACCTGAATGGTAAGCGGTTGCTGTGACACATAGACATCTACATCTATCCTCAGATACGAATCAAAATGCGGATGCGTTGTCACTCGTGAGGACTAAGATAGAATGTCTCGTTTCAAAAAGGGTCTCCGGTTCTCCACACATACCATACAAAACACAGCAACGTTAAGCTGCAGCTATTTTACGCTGGTATTCTGTGAGAGCGTGGTCCTTCCCCGGTCGAGCCGACCCATTCGTGCTACAACTATACTCCTGATATAACTGCAATATCTTTACCTCGTCGCCAATGGGTAGTAAATGGGGATAGAGGGAAACTAACTAAAAGATAGGCAGCAGCATCTTCCAGAAATAACTGGAAAGTACCCACATAACTGTTATTGCCTACTCGCCTAATCTGCGTGGCAACAGTTGCAAATATCACCATTATGAGGAAAACTATAGAGAAGACTATGTTCATCAGTGAATTTTTACAGGCTGTGGTGATGATTATAATGATGAACACTGCATATTATTCAGTATAAGTACGAGCGAACGCACATACAGTTTACCTGAAGGTATGTGGATGCCGTAGTAGATAGACACCTACATCTGTATTTGATTTAAGAATCTCCGATTCGCCATTCAAAACATAGCTGGTATTTGGTGCTACTTTACTCTAATATTCTTTTGGAGCGCGGTCTTTCGTCGGATGGACCCGACAATGTCATGCTTCAGCCATTACAGCTAAAGGTTGACTCTGTTGCGACTGATAATAAACGACTTTTCGTGAGAATGCTGAATATTTGCTAATATTTTGCTAAAATATAAATATAAGATAAATAAAAACCCCCGACATACCATACCACAATACGAAACACAGCAGTATTAAGCTGTTATTTTACGTTAGTATTCTGTGAGAGTGTGGTCCTTCCCCGGTCGAGCCGACCCGTTCGTGCTACAACCATAATATAGCTACAGCGCGACTCTATCACGTATAAATCCTAATTTGTCTTAATCTAGATAAATCTTTTTATGATTCTGTCTTATAAATATTAAACTACATTTTGATTATCGTTAATATCTATGGGTGTAGGGGCTTATGGTCTACAGCATCCATTTACCACCAGTTGGATTGTGTGCTCGTTTATCAAACTTGGTTGTTTAAAAATACATCGCTTAACATCACTCTATCAGTATATGGCTATCCTAATCTCAAAAATACAGTATTCTTCTAGTCTATTAGGCTTTGAACATCATCTTTACGGTCATCATTATTAGGAATCTAAAATAATCGTTTTAATTTTATCGTCTAAATGTTTTGTTTATGTTTGTTTCGCACAATTTCATTATTTTGAAAAAGAAAATTTAAATTTGAATACAAAGATAATATCTACCTTATTACTAAGGAATTACATTTATTAACAAACACTTACTTTACAGTTATATTCACATTCTCCTGTTATCTTGAACTAACTTCCCCGTTATTTTGAGTAACGAAATTCCTTCCAACGCTTTCGTTTGATTGTACAAGGGGTACTGATTGATATTACTATAACGAAGGAAATAAATAAGCCGTTAATCGTTCATCAACCTTTCAACTGTTTTTAAAATCAACTAGTTGAAGGTTTAACTATACCACAAGGCGACCAAACGAAAAACACTTCTTTCAACGAAGAAACGAATCTAAAAGATCCATTACTATTTACTAACGATCCTCCTTGAGGCAAAAAATTAATTGAAGATTACAAACATTACAAGATAATGAAATTATACGCGTAAATAGCGTTTATATAAATGAATAAAATAAAGATAAAAGTCACAGCGATATCACTTAAAGCTTTTTTATTTATTTATACTCCTTATTGCACACAACAAACTTTAATTTATTAATTTATATAAAATTAGGTGGCTCTTAACACTTTACCTCTTAACTCTAATAGGCAAACCTTCGTGAGGGAGTTCTTTGTAGTTGATGAAAATACCATTTGACTAAATCAACTAATTTGCAACCAGTGGGTCCTCCCTGAAGCAAGCTTTTATATCAAGATTTAATTTTGTCAGTGATCCACCACTAGTATAAGCCATTCGATTTGTCGGAATTGCTTTTCGTTATATTAATTGAATCTTTTACTGTTATCTCTACTCGTGAGGAACAGAAATAAATAACCACCCAATTAAATTAAATTAGTGTAACTTATTTCATTTTTCCTTTGGAAGAAATCCTATTTTCGTAGCAAAATAAAAAGTAGAAGCCTACATACGTCGCACTGCCATACATAATACGATTATATCTGAATGTCGTTTTCATATTTAGCTACAGATTTCGGTTCGCCAATCAAATCGCATGGCTCTACCACGTCCAATTTTTTTAACGTGGTAGAGCCATGCAATTGTATAGTTGTAGCAAGAATGGCTATTATTATACAACTATTGTAGCAAGAATGGGTCGGCTCGACCGGGGAAGGACCACGCCCTCACAGAGTACCAGCGTAAAATAGCAGTCAATAGCAACATTAAGCTGCTGTGTTTCTTATGGTGAGTGTAGAGAACCGGAGACCCTTTTTACTGGAAACGGGGCATTCCATCTTAGTCCTCACGGGTGACAACGCATCTGCATTTTAATTCGGAAACGAGGATAGATGTAGATGTATATAGGCCAAAGCAACCACTTACCATCAAGCTTTCTTAAGTAATGGCTTCACATTCATGTTTTGTTATTACTTGTTTTTATACTGTTATTACTACTGGCACAATTAACTTGCTTCTTTGCCTCTAACTGTCTTACGTACTTATGCGAGCTGGAAGCATACATGTCTATGCTTGTCTTTTTTAATTTACTTTACACTTCTTGTAAATAGAGTGATGATAGATTAAAAATACAAGTGCGTAAGTTTTCACGGTATCTGAAATAAAGCAGATTCAGTAGCCGGCAACGGATTGATTGAATTGTAAACAGGTCGCTTCATGTTTCACGTCCTGAAAACGCGCTATCGTTTGATTTAGTTCGTCTTAATCAAGGTGTATTGTGTGCCGGTGGAAAATTATGTCGAGAGATTTTCAGTTTTCTTTTGACAG